TCCTATTTTATAATTTCTGTTTTTTATTTCATTTTTTACGGGATGTGTCTGTTAAGAAACGAGACTCATGCTGTAAATCATGTTATTTTTATTTCCTACATATTTACTTATTATTACCTTTATTATACACCCCTCCTGAATCCCTACAACGCTTCATGCAAATCTTTCTGAATTAGAGCGGGAAGTCTTCGTATATCAGCTTATTCAGGTCACTTGCCACTTTCTCTTTCATATCTTAAAAGGACTCAAAATCTTATTCATTTTAATACTTATTGAAGAATCCTATTGTTATGCTCATGATCCTAAAACGATGCGTGTATCCATGTACCGATGTGGCGTAGACCAGTCACTTTTGACCAGTTATTATGAAGTACTTTGTTTTCTCACAAAAAGTTCATCTTGCCAAATAGTATTCAACTAGTAGGCCCGTGCGAAAAATTTGCACAGCATATTGTTTTCAAATGCCTAATTATTAAGAAAAAAAATAATGCCACGTATCAAAAGATGAGAAAATCAATTGTTACTTTATCGATAAATATAAACGACAAAGGAAACAAAAACTCTTTTAAATCTTCATTAATGTTTGGAACCAATATGTTTACAAATTTCAATAAGCTGTATCTTTGCTAAAAATTGCCCGATTTCGATAATTTTTTTTTTCCTTTTTCAAGAAATTTAGTAACCTTTTATATAAGTATAGGCATAAGCAAGGGACAATTATGTAATTTTTTAGTTATTCGCAAATAAAGTGTGTTTTCTTTTATAACTTGTTTGTCTGAATTTTCGGGGTGGTTGGACTATTTTGTCCGTCTGAAGGAGAAGGAAGCCTTCGAAATTGGTAGCTCAATCTTGAGATTTGGTGAAGAATTAACGATGATATGGCTTGCCGATCAAAAACACCATCGATAAATAATATAAATTCCTCCTCTCTTGATCATAGAGCCCTCAAGTCGACGAAATTAGAGTTGTATTCAACGACAGTACTACAATTAATGTAAGGTTGTGTGGATGCGAACCCTATGTCTTGCGTTATCTCAAAAATAGTACGTTTTTGGGCTTAAAAACGCAGGATCCGATAGTTCCGGAGGAACTATCCGGGTCTTGCTGTACGCATCAAAATCTTCAAGGTCCAATTTGTCCCGCATCTATCTACAGACCTACCACCGCTCCAGTATTGAAGCCTAGCAAAATGTTTGTATCGACTTTATTTATTTTAGAAAGAAAAACAAAAGCGGAGTATACGACTCGCTAACCCACCGTGAAATTTTGAATCCAACGGTACCCCATTCATGGTATTTGAGCATGGCAGGAGCTTATATTTGGTACAAAACCGATTTCGAGCCTTACTGTAATAATATATGTACGGATCTGTGGTGTAACCAATGAGTAACTTGTGATGTTCCGGAAACTGTGGAGCCACACTGTCTTGAGGGCCACAATGATGAGAGCCACGTTAATCTAACGATCCCACTGAAAATAAATTTCCTCAATTGGTAAGTGTCGATAATTTTTTGCGGTTCAAATAATTTTTTTGAGGATGCAAAGCAGCGGTGGTGCCTACCCATTTTAATTTCAGAACCCTAAGAAAAAGGCGAGACCCTGCACTAGGTAGACCACCAGACCTTCTGTATGTATAATAAATAGAAGGACGAATCAAGAGCATAGATGATCTTAGGAAATCATGACTGAAGCGGAGAAAATTGGCAGCAGTGGAATTACGCATTCAGTTAAGTTCTACTGTTGCCAAATCCCGTATTGCCACATTGGCTAGGTAGGGATGAAACTAAATTATTATCGTAACCAGTAATCAAATTGATCACATATTGGTGAGCTCGAAGCAAAGAAAGGAAACACCACACATTTGATTGATTGTGGAATAGTTGAAAGAGTCATAAGTGAACACCAGCTAAATGGATGTTAAAATAATAGAAATTGGCCAAGAACAAGATGTAAATCAACGCTGTATGCTGTAAGGAGGCAATGATTTCTCTTTGTTAATCAATTGTAAGGCAATAATAAAACTTCGCATTGAATCCTCGGTATACTCTCCCATCCATCATACTTTATCTATGCTTAGTTCTGGATAAACCTCATCTGAACACACAACTTCAAGAGAGATCTATATATAGTTCATTTTTACTGTAAAAAAAAAAATCACCTGTGTTATGGACTAGATAATGGTACCGCCTAGTATGAGCTGCACTGTCTTACCTATGAATGGAGATTGACCGTATTTTTTCTCTAGTTATCTAGAAGCTTCGATAGTGAGTGAGCATCTCACTTTAACATAGTCAGCGTCTACCTTCGTTAGTGTTTACCTAAGCCAGTGGTTAATTTGATGTATATCTTCGTCGGTGTCTTAACTTTCTTTAGCTGCCAGCTGGATTAAGAACAGATTATTGAAACGGGGTTGAGACTATGTTTGAATATTTTTTGTTTGAACATCGCTCTCCCCAACACATAATTGGTTGAATGGAAATCTCTGGAAGAAAGCTAACGATGAAGAAGATTTCCTTCGACAAGAACTAGGAAATTAATTTTACTAAGGAGAGTAGAGGGATTGATATTTCCATTAATTAATTTAAAGAAGGAAATAACATTTTTTTATGTACCAATGTGCTAGAGAATCAATATTTATATTTCAAAACTATTTATAATATAGATAAAAACATCGACTATCGATATTTCAAGCCCGATATTTTGATGGTATTGATAGTTATATGCCGATATTAATCTCGATGATAATATCGATATTGGATCTTCGATATCCTATCCTTCGATCTCGCATCTGACACACCATCGATCAATCACAATCGAGAGATTCCTATTATTTCGATGATATTTTCAGATATTTTTATCCAGTATCTTTCAATGTTTGGCGTAGGGAAGTGGCGACCCCATCGTCCAGTCTCGTGACTGCAATCAGCCACTGGTCCTCCAGGTTGGGGAAACAATAACTCTGACACTTAGACAGTACACCATACACAGCACACTACATACACCACACATTAACATTCAAAGGTCATCAACAGTACACACCCTAGGCTCACCTTCCCTGGGTAGCCGCCCCGGACGGAGGAGTGTGTCAGGATGCTCTAAGGAGGCAGCCCTTTCACCTGACTCGGGGGCAGAGTTTGGGCTGATAACCCCAACGACACGGCACCCGTCTAATGGATTTTAAACTTGGAACATGGAACACTCTATCACTATGCCGACCGGGAGCTCTAGATCAGCTTCTAGCACAATTGGACCGATATAAAATAGACATAACTGCGATCCAAGAATCTCAAGAACCTCAATACAGACCCAGAACAAGTATACACGGCATTCATAATGTCACAAACGAAAATGGTCGGAGAACCATAAACTTTGCAGCCTCAAAAGATTTGGTGGTGAGAAGCACGGGGTTTCCCCATTCTTCGAGATTTCCCCCGAGCAAAAGGATTCATCTGGCAACTTGGCGGTCTAACGACGGTGTCACTTGCAACCAAATAGACCATTATTTTCTAGAAACATTTCAAGTCTACAGGATATTAGAGTTTACAGAGGGGCAAACATCGACTCTGATCACTACCTCACAATCGCACAGATCATAGCGCGAATTTCAATGATTAACGTGGAGGTGTTCAAAGATGAGAAGAGATAAAGCTTCTCTAGGCATATGAATCATAAGATAAGAAACCTCAGTGAATCCGGAGACTTAAACCAACAATGGAGTAGTTGCAAGGAGGCAATAGTGGAAGTCGCAAATGAAACAATTGGATGAGGAGTGTCAGAGGATCACTACTATTAAGAATAAAGCTTATTGGCAGATGGTCCAGCGAAGACACACTAGAACTTCTGTAGAAGAATACCGAGCCCGAAGAAGAGAAGAGAAAAGTCTTTAATCATTCAGTGCAATTACTAGGGTTTGCCGATGACATTGCATTGGTTGGAAGAACAAGGGCAGCTATACAAGATGCTTTCTTAGCGCTACAAGGAGCAGCTGCGAGAATTGGCTTAAAGGTCAATGAGAAGAAAACAAAGTTTATGCGGGCCGACCCAATGAGTGGAGGCCACAGAGAGGCAAATGTAGAAATCGGAGGGATGACATTTGAAGATGTCTCGGAATTTATATACCTTGGCTCGCAAGTTAATGTAAATAACGATATGAATCCTGAAATACAGAGGCGCATCATGGCCCCAAATAGAGCTATTTTGGTCTCCAGGGACATTTCAAAAGTAGAGTGATCTCTCGTAAAACCAAGCTGCTCTTGTACAAAACCTTGATCAGACCAGTACTAACATATGGGTCAGAGTGCTGGACAATGTCAAGAGCCCAAGAAACAGCTCTTCTTCGGTTTGAACTTGTGTGCTAAGAAGAATATTCGGCTATCGACTATATATGTCCATAATTAATTCTGGTTATTCTTAACTGAAGGGCTGCAGCAACCAACAGATGACAAGTGTGCCAAATTGTGGGAGCCCTAGACTACATGAGTTGTAGTCAAGAAAGAAGAAGAATCTATACACTGGAAGAACTTAACTTCACCGAGAGGCAAAAAAGCTAGAATGAGTAAATCAAAATTCAAAGAAATTGATAATTGTTGTTTTCGATATTCATGTGATTGTGCACCTTCACTGGGCCAAATTGTTAATCAACATTACTATATCCACGTTCTTTCTGAAAAAGAATGCAACATGCGGTTTGAAGGAGCTGACAGAAGAAGACTTACGTTACTGTTTCAGACAATGGAAGATTTACAAAGGACGTTGTAGGGATAGAGGAGGGGTGTATATTGAAGGTAATATATTTGTAAGGATACAAATAAAATATTTAGCAGCATCAGTCTCGTTATTTAACAGCCACACTTCGTAATATTACTGTCGAAATCCAACAAGTGTAATTGTAGAATAAAATTGTTTAGATTGTATTGGAATCAATTTTATTGTAAATTATTCACACCTCTCTGGTTAATCACCTGTTCTATCTCTTTTGAGCGACTCGTTAGTGATTTATTGTGAGATATAAACAAATTTGAATCACCTAAACTCAAAATTTATGGTTATGATAGTCATAAGTTGTGTTTTTATGAATTCATTAATTTTTAGAAATAATTATGAATATTTCTAAATGTGTTATGACGTGTAGGGTTTTCCCCTTTAAAAACATATGTTACCCAAGAGAAGCTATATTTACAACTGTGATACCACTCGTTTTTTGTAACAAATTGAGTAGACTAGATTTTCACAAAACTGGATTTACCAAATGTTCTGATAATGGAGACAGCATAAAAAAAAGATCAAGGTTGAGGAAATATGTTGAAGGTTCTTCTCTTAATAAACCTAGGGTAATTTAGCTTTAATGATCTTTTTTTCCTCATAATTTCTTTGAATCCTTATTTGTGATCCATCCTCATGTTTATAAATATTAATCCATAATTTTAATAGTTGAATTTATTGGTAGCGTGTTTCTTTTGGATGAAGTTATGTCTCTTTGTTTGAAACTATTGTGAAATATTGGGATTATCCAACATATAATATCAGATTATCTATTATGTGATTATAGACAATAGCTGTTAGAAAAGTGCATAGTATAGTTAATGGAATTAATTCAAGTTTACCAAGTAATAATGACTAATTCTTAGTTTTGTTCCTATGAGATTTTCAGAAGTATGTTACTTTTAAGAGTACTTGTTTGTATTAAAGCCTGAGTCTAAATATGTTTTTGAATTTAATTTAATTTTTAATGAAGAAATTTGTAATTCTTAGAGGACCAAGAGAATAAAACTATCAATCTTTTCTCAGATTTAAACCATTAGGTTTGTTTTGAATGAATAATGTTAATGAAGAATTATCTTCGATACTACTGTAAAAACCACTCCATTTTCATCTATGACAAAAGATCTCATAAGTCGAAAGCAGTGATGTAATTAAATCAAATTAACCCCTCCAGTTTTAACTGAAATAGACCAGTAGAATTGTGATCTAATTAAAGGGAGGTTGTACTGTGAACAGGTTGAATATTTTATTATGAGTTTTTGTGTTCTCTATTCTTGGTTGACGCCATTCTTTTATTTTTGCTGTTAAATTTATTTATGTAATTATTATACTAAATTGTTACTTTTATTTAAATGTTTACTTTTAGCATTGGAATGTAGTAGCTTATGCAACTGCAGAGGGCTACGATTTACATAAACTCAGAAAAGCTCTTGCTGAGCAAGCTTTGTACATACCAAGTGAACTTACTAGTAATGAACCTCTGCAGTCAGGTTGCAATTTCCTCATTTAGTTATGATGTAGCCCCAATAACTATATACTTATCATTATTTTTAAATAAATAGGTGTGGGTTGTGCTCTTCATGCCGTGGCAAAATACCAAGTTACTCCAGAAAATAGACATATTTACTGCTTTGAAGAAGGATCTGTTGTTATGTGGAATGTCAGTACTGTAGAACAAAATTCCATTATTCAGTTTCTGAAGCCTTTTGAAGTTAAGAGTTACAGTTCTGCTATTGTTCAAGAAGAAATGGAGTTAATGTTTTATACTTATAATCAAAGGTAGTGACATATGAACTTATAGAAATCTATACACTCACATTAAGAAATAATATTCCTAAGTAATAATATCAAATTTACTTTTGAAGTATTCTATGCAGGTCAATTTATGTATATATTATTTTGTAGAAAGTAAACATTACCCAAGTATTTTTATTTATCTCTGCTGAATAATTTCTCAGATGTATGAAATTTCATCTCCATTAAATACATAGTGCTCCACCATACTTTAGCATATACTCCAAGATTTTTCTCCACGTATGGGTATCCAGGAGCCTTTAATTGAATATTATAAATCAATCCTGCTTGAACTTTATATTTTAAATAAAGATGAGAAATTGTGGTTAAAAAAAAAGAAAGATTAAAAAATATTTAGGCCATTGGGAGTTTTTAATTAATTCTATTTTTCATTGATATTGGTCAAGCAATGAATAAATTATTGAGGGAAGGATTAAGGTTTTTCTATTTATCACCATTAATTCCTAGAAAGCTAGAAAATGCATCCTTTCACTATTTAATTTTTTTTCAACCATTCTCTGTTGTTTTCTGTTTTATATAACTTTACACGCATTTTATAAAAAATGTTTACTGAAAATAAAAAGTTTTTTCTACTGTGTTTGAATTATTACTGTCAATAATTTTTATGTTTTATTTTAAAACTGCTATAGACATGTAGACAATTGAAGCAGATATAATCATCTTATAAAGATATGTAATTTTTCTTTTGTAATTGTTCATTATTGTCATTCTAAGGGAACTTTGTCCCAGAATAAAGTTCATTTTCTATATATATATTATTGATTTCTCTTGTTAAGATGGGTAGTTTGTCTGATAGTCCCTGTATAGTTTCTGCATTCAATGTTTAGTATCGATTTCCACACATCAATTTCTTTATATTCGATCATGTTTCCATGGCTTCTGGTTGTTTGGTCTTTTAGAATTTTATTATTTTTATAGTGAGTGGAGAGCTAGTCCACTGCACCAACCCCCAACATGGAGGAACAGGTAGTTTAAATTTGGGGTCTCGTATCCCTAGTTGCCTTCATTACAGCTTAAAGTTTCCTCTACTCTTGAAAGCCATTTCCTGGATCTGTTGAATTACTATACTGCCAAGGCTCGGTGCCACCTCTGTTAGCCTACCTTCAAAAGGTGTTTCCTGGTATTTACCACAAGGAGGTAGAGGTAGGATTTCAGCCCCCTTTGAAAGTTTTATTATAAATTTTAGTCATTTATGACAAAGGTAAATAAAATATTAATCGTTTATAACTACTAAAATTTTAGTGGTTTTAAATTAGTCACGACTATTAACTAAACAATTAGTCATTAGGCATGATTATTTTGTGTTAAAAGATGTAATGATCAATCTGATAATTTAGAAATTTATAAAATCTCTGTTAGGTGTTCTAATTGAGCAGGGTATTACAATATAATTAGTAAATTTAGTTGGGATGTGCATGATGGAAATATTGGAAAAGTTTTGAGGTTTTTTTGGATTTAAAACAAGATGATTCCCTTTCACCTGGCCTATTTAATTTAGCTAGAACTTAGGTACTGCATACCAAAAAAGGTTTGATTCCGGGTGGAACAATATCCGTGCATGGTTATGCTGATGATTTGGTCCTGTTAAGCTAAGGCACAGAAACTATAAAACTAAATGCGACAAAGTTAATGAAAGGTAGTATAGAACTGGGTCTTGAAATAAATACAGATAAAACAAAATACATGGTTATCTGCAAAAAGAGCGACTATTTCGGTGATATCTATATAGAACATAGGTTTAGGTTTTTAGGGTCCACGATAACTAGAAAAAAAAAGGAAATTAAAGAGGAGATTAAGATTAGGTTAAAGGCTGGAAATGCTTATTATTTTTCTGTGACAAAACTACTTAACTTGCGCTTCCTGTTCGAAAACATAAAAACTAGAATTTATAAAACGGTTGTCTTGCCTACAGTTCTTTTTGGATACCAAATGTGGCCACTTACATTAAAGGATGATCAGCGTCTTAAGGTTTTTGAAAATAAAGTATTGAATATTTGGACCGAAGAAGGATGAGTCAATTGGAAAATTAAGATGGTTACACAACACCAAATTGCATGGGTTAATCTCCTCCGAATTAAAAAAAAAAAAGTAAAAATGGCAATATGTTTGGGTAGGCGGTTGATACTTTGTTTTACTGTTATTAATGGAGAGGGGGAGGTTAGCCCGCCTCCGAATTTTTTTAAAAGGTAAAATGGCAATATGTTTAGGTAGGTGGGTGATACTTTGTTTTAACATTTTTCTTTTTGAAGGGAGGTGTCACCCCCCCCCTAAAAAAATAAAAATAATATAACAACTGCATTAATTGTATAAATGTTAATGTTGACAAAGAACCAGCTGTGGTTGCTTGTTACAAAATGAGTCCCCTTACATCAGTTGATGTTGAACCCTCTTCTCAATTAAATGACGTATTAAGTGAAAGGAGAAACCAATTTTCAGAAACAATTTACGAAATATATAACATTGTAAATTTCAACTCGATTAAAAACAATGTTTTCATTATAATGTAGACAATTTATAATTATATATGTACGTATATTATTTTTAATTAAAATTAAATAACTGAAATCAATTGGTCAGGTATATATATTATGTATTTATCCTTCATACTTTTAATCTCTCCTATACATTACTTTATTCCTTGCATGAGCCAGTCAATTAACCAATTTAAGGGAAATTTAAACAATTATATTTAATTATTTGTCGGTTAATTATGGAGAACTTTTTGTATATGTTTTGTGAATTATCTTTAAATTTTCCATTATTTATGTGAGTTCTTATTTTTTTTTAATTTCTCATTTTTAAAGATTTAGGTTAATCGTAATTTATTATTGTATTAGATTGTCGTTTACTGATGTATTGTTGTCGTTAGTTGATTGTGATATAGATTTTAATTTTCAATGTTGCGATTTAATTTTTTTTTTTTTTTTAGTGACTATTTTAATCAGTAGCTTAACATACGATTTGATAGGATTTTGATGTATTAATATTACAAAATAAATGACTTATGCACGTTTTTAGGTGTAAATTAGACAATTTTACATGTTTAGATTTTTGCTGCACAATTTTGCACATTTCGAGTCTTTTGCTGCACATTTTTCGGATTTTTACTGCACGAAGATCTGATCTCTACTTATAATAGTTGGCTATGTTGCTACGCACACAACATACTATAAATCATTATTACACATGCTTTGAGAACTTACATAAATATACAGTACAATATCATTATATCTATAATAAATAGTGGACATATTGTTTTTTTTTTCTTTTTCTTTATGGTTTTTATGTTTTTCTTTATTTTTTATTTTACTTTTTGATCCATACTCTCTATTATTTCCTATATACCATGATACCATCTCCATTCCCAAGGGAGAACATTGTTATTTCCACCTCTCATTTATTCAGAACAATGCCCAGGTTTTTTCTGAGGATTTATTGCTGAACGAATTCCAGCAAAAGTCATTTGGATGCCAGCTATCATTCCTTATACAGCACCCTTGTCATGCACTGATACAACCTGGTCATCCACGGATGTCTTTGAGAACCACACTATCTTGGTCACTTTTTGTGTCCAAATTTTTTTGAAGTCATCATACAGGTCATTATGTTGAGGTATAGATGGTCAATGGCTAGTTTAAAAATGAAAGATAAGTTACCTTGGTATACACCATGCAGCTTTTTGATTAACTTGTAATGCAGAGACCAATAATAATTTTGACTCTATAGGAGAGCAGATATCATGTTTTTAAGATGCAACGACTCACCTCTTGCTTCTAATGAGTTCACAATATGGTTGTTACCAACACAGTTAAGTTAAAAGCGCCTTCAACGTCAAGAGAGACTACCATGTAATAATTTATTTTCCTCTTCGTATCTTTTAATATGGTGTCCACCATTTTCGAGTTGACGTGCGTTCCCGGAAGATCTTTTATAAAACTTCTTCTTAAAACTTAAGATTTCCTACTACAGTTTCTATAATTTCAATTTATTTATCAAGTGACAAATTTTGAGATTCTAGTTGAGTTAATGTTTGCGGAAAATTTGACAAATGTGATTTTATGAATGTCAAATCGATATTATTGATGCCAAATTCATGATAGACTGCCATTCACTTCAAAGCTGGAAGGTATACTGAAGAACTGACGAAAAAGTGAAAATTATAATCAAAACAAGGATGGCAGTTTTTTAATTGAATTTTTATTACATCATTTTGTTACTATCTTATTTATTTATTGGTAATACATTTTTCTTACAATTTAAATTAAAAATTATCAATGTTTTATTCATTATTTTTTTTCTAGCAAAAAGACGTATATTCATGATGGAGTTATGTATATTGGTATTATAGATAAAGATTTAGAAAGCATAGCATCAGATAGGTACACTTTGTCTAATGCTATGTCTCTATCTGTTAAATTGGGTGTTTTAGAAGTTCTCTTGGATATGTATATCTGTGATACTGAATGTCTGAGTGAGGTAAATTATTTTAATATGTTATTGCATGATAAAATCTAAATTACAATGTTATTTAACAAAATAAAATAAATAGTTTATCAGGTGACTGATGTGCATGTTGTTGTTGGGTGTTTTTAGCAGCTGAAAAAATCATTGCAAAAGTAAAGGTCCATCACAGACTAGTCAGTTAACCGGTGTTGTTCATACGCTTTAGCAAAGAAGTAAATATTGTATAAAATATACCGAAATATTACAGGTTACTTGACCTAAATGTCAAAATGGATTGTTTTCAGTGTTGGGCATTTACTCGAGTAAATGTCCAGCAGTGACGTCACGAGTGATCACTCTTGGAAGCTTAGCCATGAGTAATTTTGAAAATTACTCATGAAATATTTTTCCTCCATGAGTAAATCACTCGTGAAAATTTTTATCTCCATGAGTAAATTACTCATGAAAAATTTTAACGCCATGAGTAATTTTGAAAAAAAAAAGTTTTTATTTTATTTAATCTAATTTTTTTTTCACCTTCCCAATTTATTCGATATCAGGGTCGGCTCTTATGTTTTGAGGGGCGATTTTTATGAAAATGGTATCCAATTTGAGATTGGGCCCTCCGAGCCTTGACTGTTTTCAACTTTTCGGATTAAATCGATATCAGGGTCGACTTATGTTTTGGGAGGGGGGGGCTTTTTATGAAAATGGTATCCAATTTGAGATTGGGCCCCCGGGCCTTGACTTTTTTAACTTTTCGGATTAAATCGATATCAGGGTCGACTCTTATGTTTTGGAGGGCGCTTTTTATGAAAATGGTATCCAATTTGAGATTGGGCATCCGGGCCTCGACTGTTTTCAACTTTTCGGATTAAATCGATATCAGGGTCGACTCTTATGTTTTGGGGGGCGCTTTTTATGAAAATGGTATCCAATTTGAGATTGGGCCCCACGGGCCTTCGACTGTTTTCTACTTTTCGGATTAAATCGATATCAGGGTCGACTCTTATGTTTTGGGGGGGCTCTTTTTATGAAAATGGTATCCAATTTGAGATTGGGCCCTCCGAGCCTTGACTGTTTTCAACTTTTTGGATTAAATCGATATCAGGGTCGACTCTTATGTTTTGGGGGGCGCTTTTTATGAAAATGGTGTCCAATTTGAGATTGGGCCCCCGGGCCTTGACTTTTTTAACTTTTCGGATTAAATCGATATCAGGGTCGACTCTTATGTTTTGGAGGGCGCTTTTTATGAAAATGGTATCCAATTTGAGATTGGGCCCTCCGGGCCTCTACTGTTTTCTACTTTTCGGATTAAATCGATATCAGGGTCGACTCTTATGTTTTGGGGGCGCTTTTTATGAAAATGGTATCCAATTTGAGATTGGGCCCTCCGGGCCTCGACTGTTTTCTACTTTTCGGATTAAATCGATATCAGGGTCGACTCTTATGTTTTGGGGGGCGCTTTTTATGAAAATGGTATCCAATTTGAGATTGGGCCCCTCGGGGCCTGATATCGATTTTTTTTTTTTTTTTTTTTTTTATAATTTTTTTAAATTTCTTTATTGAGTATTATAACAATCTGTCTGTTGGACATTGGTTATAGTGAGGTAGGATGACATTCACACCATATGTACAAAAAAAAAAAAAAAATAAATAGAACAAAATAATAATCAAAAGTATATACAATAGACAATAAAATAAAATAACCTAAAAAAATAAGAAAATTAAAACTAAGGAAAAACAAATACATGCATACCTATATACAATCAGGCGAGGGAACTCCAGGAGAACCCTGCGCTACTCTCCCAACCGCGTCACTGGTACTAAAGCCAGCGGAGATTGGTCGAGAGCACTTTAGCCACATACACACATGTCTTGAGTGAAGAATCTGGCCATTGCCAGAACTCCAATTTATATCATCTACAAAAGGTCGCGAGGCCACTGCCGTTTCAACCTCAGTTTTTTTTTTTTTTTTTTTTTTTTTTTTTTTATAAATTTTTTTAAATTTCTTTTATTGAGTATTATAACAATCTGTCTGTTGGACATTGGTTATAGTGAGGTAGGATGACATTCACACCATATGTACAAAAAAAAAATAAAATAAATAGAACAAAATAATAATCAAAAGTATATACAATAGACAATAAAATAAAATAACCTAAAAAAATAAGAAAATTAAAACTAAGGAAAAAAAAAAAAAAAAATACATGCATACCTATATACAATCAGGCGAGGGAACTCCAGGAGAACCCTGCGCTACTCTCCCAACCGCGTCACTGGTACTAAAGCCAGCGGAGATTGGTCGAGAGCACTTTAGCCACATACACACATGTCTTGAGTGAAGAATCTGGCCATTGCCAGAACTCCAATTTATATAATCTACAAAAGGTCGCGAGGCCACTGCCGTTTCAACCTCAGTTTTTTTTTTTTTTTTTTTTTTTTTTTTTTTATAAATTTTTTTAAATTTCTTTTATTGAGTATTATAACAATCTGTCTGTTGGACATTGGTTATAGTGAGGTAGGATGACATTCACACCATATGTACAAAAAAAAAATAAAATAAATAGAACAAAATAATAATCAAAAGTATATACAATAGACAATAAAATAAAATAACCTAAAAAAATAAGAAAATTAAAACTAAGGAAAAAAAAAAAAAAAAAATACATGCATACCTATATACAATCAGGCGAGGGAACTCCAGGAGAACCCTGCGCTACCTGGATATCGATTTAATCCAAAAAGTTAAAAAAAGTCGAGGCCAGGGGGGCCTAATCTCAAATTGAATACCATTTTCATAAAAAGCGCGCCCCAAAACATAAGTCGACCTTGATATCGATTTAATCCGAAAAGTTTAAAAAGTCGAGGCCCGGGGGCCCAATCTCAAATTGGATAACATTTTCATAAAAAGCGTCCCCCAAAACATATGAGTCGACCCTGATATCGATTTAATCCGAAAAGTTGAAAACAGTCGAGACCCAGGGGGCCCAATCTCAAATTGGATATCATTAAAAAGCGCCCCCCCAAAACATAAGAGTCGACCCTGATATCGATTTAATCCGAAAAGTAGAAAACAGTCGAAGGCCCGTGGGGCCCAATCTCAAATTGGATACCATTTTCATAAAAAGCGCCCCCCAAAACATAAGAGTCGACCCTGATATCGATTTAATCCGAAAAGTTGAAAACAGTCGAGGCCCGGGGGCCCAATCTCAAATTGGATACCATTTTCATAAAAAGCGCCCTCCAAAACATAAGAGTCGACCCTGATATCGATTTAATCCGAAAAGTTAAAAAAGTCGAGGCCCGGGGGCCCAATCTCAAATTGGATACCATTTTCATAAAAAGCGCCCCCCAAAACATAAGAGTCGACCCTGATATCGATTTAATCCGAAAAGTTAAAAAAGTCGAGGCCCGGAGGGCCCAATCTCAAATTGGATACCATTTTCATAAAAAGCCCCCCTCTCCCCCAAAAACAAAAGAGTCGACCCTGATATCGAATAAATTGGAAAGGTGAAAAAAAAAATAGATTAAATAAAATAAAAACATTTTTTTTTTCAAAATTGCTCATGGCATTAAAATTTGTCATGAGTAATTTACTCATGGAGATAACATTTTTCACGAGTGATTTACTCATGAAGGAAAAATGTTTCATGAGTAATTTTCAAAATTACTCATGGCTAAGCTTCCAAGAGTGATCACTCCTGACGTCACTGCTGGACATTTACTCGAGTAAATGCCCAACACTGATTGTTTTGCACCAGTTTTAGACTTTATAAAGTTTCAGTTTTATACCTCAGCTTCCTTAGAGTATGAACCAAACTCCCTTATTTTTACTATGTTGATTTTTGAGTGCTTTATTAATTTTGAAAGTTCAAGTTACATACCATTAGACAGTCTCTTACTAAATATATTTTATTTAAATGTAAACTAATACCATCCTGTACCTTAGTATTTCTGGTTTAATATCTAAAATTGTTTTTAGGTTGAAATTAGTGAGGTTATAAAATGATGCAGTTGGTAAATTGAAATTATAAAAAAAAAAAAAAATTAATAATATCTTCATTTATTATTTTATATATTATTTATGAGGAAGAGTTATAATGGTTCTAGGTTTAATACTTGAAAAGCTTCTCTTCCATAGTTAATTTTTTTTTTTTATTAGTCTGACGTTTCTGGTTACTTAACCATCTAATTGAATAAAAAAAAACTTATGTAAGAGACGTGTATCTGGTTAGCCGATTTTGATGAAAAAGTTACTTTAAAATCCCATGATATACAAACGTTAAATATAAAATTAAGAGCCAGACTGTTCACATACATACACACACAGAGTCCATTTTACCACAGTGAGAGTCTGAAACCCATGCGTGGTGCGTCCCCAGATGGTAGGTAGGGGAATGCTCGCTAGCAATAGAGAGCAAGAGGAAAATAAGACACCTCTCGCGGACCAAACAGGCTAGGGGAAGGAATCCCGAATAATAAACTCAACATGGGGAGTCACTTTAAACTGACAAACCTTACGGTGCAGGGGATTGGATCCCCAGTACCAGCGTCTGGGAATGCCGGTTCTCAGGTGTCGTTTTCCAGCGACTGCAGTGCTGCAGTAGTGGATCACTTGGCCACTGTAGTTACTAATACTTCAAGTGAAGAAAGGAGAAAGCAATCATGGATTGATGAAGAAGAATACTAATAATAAGATTAAAGCAGAAGTTATTTCAATCCTCATGCTTTAGGACCAATTTACGAGAGCAAACGATAACCCAGAATGTTTATTTCATGGTAACACTTGTGGGACTCAGACTAAGTCTAGTTTGCAATCCCCCCATGAAGAATCTCAAGTAATAACAACAGGCACTCGAAAGGAGGCTGAGGAGATAAAGACACTGAAGGACCAGGAAGAAACACAGAGATCTCGGATTCAGCTGAAAGTAATCAAAGAAATGAGCTCGGTGAACAATGGCAAACGGTGAAGACTATGAAGAAGAGAAAAAATAAGGCTACTAAAAAGCAGAAAATCCGAACAAGACTTGCTCGCCCAGATGCTTTGATGGTCACAGCAAAGGAGGGCTCGATGTACACAGATATCCTACGCACAATAAAAAGCGATCCTGATCTTCATGACATAGTCGATAACGTGCAGAAAATACGAAAGTGTATCACCGGTAGTCTCCTTTGTGTGTTAAATAGAAAAGCACAAGAAAAGACAGAACAAATTTGTACTGCAATAGCAGACAAAATGGCTGACAAAGCGCAGGTCATGTGCAAGAGAGATTCTGTTGCTTTTGAATTGAAGGACCTCGATGAACTGACCGTGGCTGATGAAGTGCTAAAAGCTCTTCAAAATCAAAGTGAAGGTGCAGAAAACATTGATATTTCTGCTGTCAAAGTCACTTCGCAAGGCTTACGGTGGCACACAGACAGCAGTAGTTGTATTGCCTATGGAACTAGCAAGGAAAGCTATAGAAAAGGGGAACACCCGAGTTGGTTGGATAAGCAGCCAGATGAGGGAAAAAATTTCTTCCCAGAGATGCTTCCGATGCTTTGACTATGGTCACTTGACGAAATATTACAAGAGACCTGACAAAACAAAACTCTGTTTGCAATGTGGCGGAGTAGGTCATCCAGCAAAAGAGTGTACTGCCAAACCACAATGCCTGCTATGCCCTGACAGAAGAAACTGCAAGCACCCGATGGGCAGCTTTAGTTGCCCAGTCTACTAGCAAACAGTTGAATCAGTTACTAAGCACTGGAAATGAGATTTTTACAGTTTAACATTAACAACTGCGAAGCTGCCCAGGACCTCTATTGGCAAACTATCAGTGAGAAGGACATTGACATTGCTTTACTATGCAACTAATAAAGTATTAGTCTTATTAGGAGAATATAAGCAGCTTGAAAAGATAATCTGCCTTCTTGATACTGACAGGTTCTTTATCACTAGGAAATTTTGGGGACTATCTGAAAATTAAAATTAGTTTCCACTTTATTACATAATCACCAAATATTTATTTTATTTTTATTTGACCAACTTTGTTTTTAAAGTTTGTATTCTATGGTATCAAATTTAACCTACAACTTAATGTCTTTTACTTAATAGTTTCTGATTTTCATTTTCATTACATTATTTTGTTACTATCTTATTTATTTTGCTTCATTTCATTTTACATATTTTAAACATTATTATATTATATTCTTCAAAGTAAAGTCCATTATTTTCAACTACTTTCCCCTATCTTCCATCAAGCAGGGAGTCCATCCCACCCTGAAGCCTCGTGGTTCTTCAGCCTATTCATAACTTACTCAATCTTCTCCTCATTTCAAGATATGGAATCCGAGTTGGAACCCCCCAACTCAGATTCCATATCTTCCACACTAGGTAGGGTATCTAGTGGATATCTAGTAGAGATTACGTGGGTGCACTGATAATAGGTCAGGATGGGAGCTGTTACCTTTATAATCCATAAAAGTGAGCTTAGAATTTTCGTTTTTCACAAATTCAATCATATTTTTGTCTATAAATTCCTCCACAGTCTTTCCTGCTGAATCTGAGTTAGTGTAACCCCAGCGCCTGGAGTGTGCGTTGAAGTCTCCATACACAAGAGATTTTTCGGTCAAAGAGTCCTCCAGCCAACAGAAATTCGGGTTGTTATTAGGATTATAGATTGCAAATACATGGTGGTGGACATTGCTTGATTTATTTCCACGCCTTCCAATTTATCATTTGCATCCATTTCCTTTTTAACTTGAAACTTAACCGGGAAGGAAAACCTCGCACCCACCAGTATCCACGATGCCATCTGCCTAGCTCTGGGCAGTGAGGAAATCTGGAAACCTTGGCTTTACCTGAAGTATTCCAGACTGTTAGCAGCAGTGCCTCCTTCAACAATGTAGAACAAATCAATTCCGTTAGAAGATACAAAATTCTTCAATTTGGCATACTTTTCATTGGTGAGACCACCTGCATTCCAAAAAAGAGCCTTTAACATAAAGTTTTCAGTGCTTTAAGAAAGGCCGTTTGCATTGGCCTGGCTTTGTGCTGGCCACGCCATGAGTCGCTTTTGGTAATACTGAGTATCTAGCGACTATGTGATCATTTAGTTGGTTATCCAGGTGCACGAAGAGGATGAGATCACAACACCCCTGGTCATAATTTATACAATGTTGGTTTTTAAGAGATTGCTGAAATCACTATCATATCATGTTAAATGTATTTTTGCTTGAAGCTAATTGTGTTTCATAAATAAATGGGTGAATTGGGTCTTACAGATGGCTTGAAAATAGCATCATAGCTGAAACGTAGCCAATATAGAAAATAAACATGGTAAATTAAATGCAGCCTTTACTTTATATTATTAAACATAATTTCCCCTAAAACAAAAAACATACATGTATTTATTGCAACTATTTATGTAATTTTGAATCATGAAAAATTTATGTTGTTTCTAGGATCTAAAAATTGGTAATCCTGTACGGCTTGGTCAAAGAGGTATTCTACGAAAATCAGGCGAATTATTTGCTTTGAGGCATTCAATTAATTTATCTACTGATCTTCTTGATACACCTGACTTTTATTGGGATCGAGAAAATTTGGAATCATTATACCAGAGATCATGCTATTACTTTAGTATTCCTAGGAGGACAAAAGTAAGTTTTCACTTGCACAATAATTCTAATATTTATAAAAAGTTTTAAGTTATAATATTTTCATTTTGATTGTGCTTTAAATATTTAAAAACAAATTAAATATGTTGTATTAAATGATTATATTGCATGTCATCTTAAATTTTAATTAATAATCTCAATTTCACAATTAAAAATTGTATTTAAAACAATACTACTATTGCTACTCAATAAGGTAATTATTAATTAATTTAAATTATGACAGATAATTATTTAATCTGTTAAATCAGTCATATATTATCCTGGGGGTTGGAACACCCTTTTGGGATACATCCAGCCTCCATAAAACTATTAATTAATAAGGGGGGAAACCTGTTGGTTGAGCATGGACTCAAGCAAATCTCCTCTTTGTACAAACGTTCAACATGAAACATTACTTTCTTACAAAGTACTCAACCCTTAGACCCTTCATGGGTTGTACTGGTACAGGTTTAATAGCTTTTAAACCTTATTAAAAGTTATTGTATTCATGAATTAATTTTTGTTAACTTAATATTTAGGATGTCACCATTTTTATGAAATATCTGTTCTAGTAAAATTATATTTTAACAATTTAATTTAATAATATCAGCAGAATTATTGCTGATAAAATTTGCAACAGTATTAGTCCTATTTATTTAGTTTTACACTATCTCGCATGGTTTCCAAGATTTATATATTCAAAAATCGCCAATTTAAAAAAAAAAAAGTATTTTGCTATGAGCTCATGTTTATGGTTAAAGGTTATACGATGGTTATAAGGATTATATTATATGGTCAATAAGTTTCTAATCACTATTGATGCACATTTACAGCTAATGTATTGTTTAAGGAATATGCTAACAAAGTATTAGGTTGGCAAATAAGTTCTTTCGGTTTATCAGGCTGAAATAAAACTCAATGTATTATAGTCATAAAATTTATTTTAATCTACAATACTTGAAGAGAAAAATGGTTGAGGTGAACAGTAAAAAAAAAAAAAATAAATAAAATAGTAAAAATAAGTAATTATATTTATTTTTATTTTTGTCGACCTTTTGGCTCAAAGATCAGGCCTTCATCAGGGCTATGAAAAAAACAGATAACAATAGGTATGAGAAACTATAAACATTGAATAATAAAGAATTACAATTAAAGACCTTGTTATCTGGTTATTTTCTTAGCCCTGATGATGGCCTGAACTTCAGGTCGAAACGTCGGCAGATGTAAAAAATAAATATTATAATTTATTTTTGCCTTCCTTTTTTGACTGAGCACCCCAACTATTCTTCTCTTCATTATCCACGACAGTCAACCAATTACCAATTATGAATTACAATTAAAATTGTTTCTCCACAATCCATTTCTGCCTCCATATACAGATCTCTACCTTATATTCCTAATCTTTCTGACAACATAAACAAAGTTTTACAATCTACCAGTCCTAACTTACGTCTTGCCTTTAATAAATCTTACAACACACTTTCTAATTTTTACAAATTCCTAAAAGATCCTGTTCCTCTTTGACTTATTTACCAATCCAATATGATGATATAAAAGTTTGATAATTGACAAACAAATAATTAATTGATAAAATATGATGAACTCCTCTGGGAGATGTGATTTCTTTATAATTCACAAATATATGATGCATTGACTGAACAGTTTTCATATAGAAAATGATTATGTTCTTTTAATTTTATTCAGTTACGTTTATGGTGAATATTTTTCTGAATTTTAATGACAATGGGCAACCATGTTCATTTTATTTTTTATTTTTTATTTCACAGGTCATGAATGAAAAATTGAATCATTGTGTTGAGCTAATACAATTAGTTTCATCACACCTAAGTGATAGGCACCATGTAAGATTAGAATGGATGATAATTGTTCTCATTTTGGTTGAAGTTATGTTTGAAATACTACACTTTTTTGGAAATTAAGTTGAATATTTCTAAATATATATATATGGTACTATAGAATAGTATAACTGAATAGATGTTTTATATTTATACATGACTTTACTTTTTATATATTGCATATCTGTCAGAAATCAATTACATTCATCTTTATCTGCAATTTTTTAAAGTTTATAATTTTTAATTGTAGCTAAAGGTATAGGAATTTAAAAGTAGAAGTGTACGGGGTGCCCATCCCCCTCCCAAGGGCAATGTCACATGCTCTCCCTCCCCAAGAAATTGTATTGCTCTCCTCTTATAAAAAACGGTGCAAATAAAAGTAGAATTTAATAAAAGTAAATCGTAGTTTAGTCTCCACTTGTTCCTTGGTTTGAAAGTCCTCTCTCCCCCTCCCCCCATTAACACTCTAAAAAAATATGGTTTCCTCTGAAAATTCAATAGCCTATAAAAATGTGCATCTTCTAAAATTTGATGTCGCAAGTTGTGCCATGCTACTTCCGGGGCACCTCTGGTTCTACTTTTAAACTCCATCTTTTGCATTATAACACTTGATTAATATTTGGTAATGTAATTTGTTTCTAATATGCTCCTCGTTAAACATTTGCTCTTGTGCTTTAAAAAGGAGAGAGAGGAGAAGAGGAGGGGAGGTTAACAATACATATTTCATATCTGTCTATACCATTTGATGGTAGAAAAATTGTTTTAGTATTTATTATTGTAAATTATTGTTAGATACGGTTCCTAAATTATAATCTGAAAAATAAAATTAACTTATGGGTTATTGGAATTATTTTAGTTCCAAATTTGCAAAATGAATCTATATAATCAATTAATTGCATTTAATGGACCATTTGTTTCAGAATAAATTAAAAGGTCATCTATCTATGAATTATGTTTTGTTATTATTTATCTACCTGTTTATTTTTTAATATTTCATTATTAAATTTAGTAATAAATAGTGAAACATTGTCAGTATGTCCTTTTATTTAATCTTTTAAATGTTCAATGTTTCAGGTTTAATTCACCATCTTCATGAATACACTTATTATGTAAATTTCCTGTTTGTTGACAAATCTATACTTAACTATTTCACTGCTATATTATCATTGTATCCATAAGAATTATTTGATCCTTTTTTTTTTTTTTAAAGCTACTAGGTAATAAAAATTAATCATCATCGAGCATGGTTAGTAGGGGTAACTGCCTACTAGGGAAAGCTAGGGCAACCTAAACTGAAAGCTAAGCTCATTGATTTCATCGGATCCATCTTTAAACTGGACAAAATGATGCCTTTGCTGAGATCAATAATGAGGTTAGGAACTTTTCCCAACCCAGTATAAGATTCTGATAATTATTTTGCTTACCTCGGACCTGTAAGATTCGCTAATCTACTGGAGACAACTCACACAGACTAGGTGCAGGAATGATTTTCCTGACCTGTGCAGCTAATTTGGAAATCATAGTTTGGTAATTTCCTGGATGTAATAAATCATTTGTAATTTTGGTTCATTAACGGTCTGTTTTGGGGAAATAAATATAGGTCATGGTACCTCTGCTATCCCTGAGCAGCCATAATCCATGAATATAGATCGATTTGTACCTGTTCTCAAACTCAAGTAAGTTGGGAGGAATTACACTACCAAACCCTAAAGAGATTGGTTAAGGAATAATCAATAGCCTGCTGCTGCACTATGGAAACCATGATTCCTAGCAATAAAAGGTTGTGTGACTTTTTCCAGATTGTCTGTGTTCCCACAAGCAATATGTCTATAAGAAGACCACACCACATGACCAAAAATCTTCATAGTCTTTAGTGCCAACCAAAAAAAAAAATACATATATTTTAATGTATTAAACTACTCTACCTCACTTACTGTTAATAAAATTGAAATTATGTGAGTTTTTAGACTGATTAGACAGGAATAGTATAATTTTAAAAAGAATTAGTTTTAATTTATCTAAATTGTTGAATATGAAATTCAGCCTTTTTTTTTTTAGGTCAAATTTAAAATGTTTCATTAACTATGATTATAATACCTGCAAATAGAAATAGTCAAACATATAATGTACACACAGAGAAGAACACCATCTGTGATCTTTTTGTAATGAAATTATAATCGAATTGATAGTTACGTAACTAGATTACCGTTTGCTGTAACAGATCATTTTTTCTGTACTTGAGCCTATTACAGTTTTTGTTGAAACATGTAATAAAAATTACCATCCTCTAATTATAAAATTATTCTTGTTGGTTTAATTTTTTTTTCATTTTAAATCAATCAACCAGCATGACAATTACATGATGAAAACAAATTTAAAATAAATTAGTTACAATAATATTAGGACTTTGAATAAGTTTTCACTGTTTTTTTTTTTAATTAATGCAAAGTGGTTTAAAGACATAACACTCAAAGTATTACCCATCACTAGCCACTACTTTCTCCCATCTTTCTGGAAGCATATGAATTCCATGTCGGAAAAACTGTTCCTCATTTAAGGCTATCCTAGAATCTACCCTAAGTTTGAATGTGTTTTTATTTATTATTTTTTATTTATTTATTTATTTTATTTTTATTTTTTTAGTTTTTATTTAATGTTATATCAGTTTGATTTATTCTGTTACTCCAAGTTTTATTTTATTTTATTTTCTTATAATCTAGTTGTTCTTTTATTGTATATATGGTATGATTGTACTTCATTCATCATAAATACTCAATGCCCTTAATTGAGGCAAAATGTATTTTTTCTTTCTCTCAATAAAAAAAAAAAAAAAAAAAAAAAAGTGTATCCTATTAAGGATGGAAGTGCTGCTCAGCCAGGCCATGGGTCATGGAGCGAAATAAAAGATAATCATAAGGGGCTATATCTGGTGAATATAATGGGTAGGGCAGAATTTCCATTTAATGTTTTCAACTTGATTTTACTAGTTTTGTAATACGTGACCGAGCGTTATCATTCAATCAAATCACCTTGTCGTGTCTCTGCTAGTATAGTGGCCATTTTTCCTTAGGGCTTGGCTCAAATGTTTCAATTGTAGTTGATAGCAATCTCCTGTGATAATTTTGTTCTGTGTTAGCAGGTCATAATCAATTATACCGTGATGCTGCCACCAAATGCAGAGGAACTTCAAATCATGGATATTTGGCTTTCCGGATGATGGGGTTCCTGGCTGGCCTTATACGGCATCCAATGTCCTTGCTTTAGGATCATTCCTAATTCTTTCAAACTCTCCGAAACCGTTGTTTCATCTACTAGTAATGTTCATCTAGCGTCTGACAATGGGTCTTCATTAAGTAATTTCTCTAATCCTTCATCTTTTAACTTTGTCGGTTTGCCAGAGTGTTCTTTGTCTCCCAGAATAAATTATTATTTTTTGAAGCACCAAAACCAGTCTACTTGTTACCTGCAGACCATGCTCACCATAAGCCACAATAAGAATTTTATGTGCTTCAGCACCAAATTTCTTTTAAATATAATCTGCGCAAATACTCATTACTTGGACAAAATCTCTTAATTTTTAGAATTAGGAAAAAAAAGTTTACATTGTGGTGAATTAAAATACACTGAATTCTAAGCCTACTGACAGTAGTTCTTGGAAAATTGGATTAACAACTGCTCATGAAATGAAAATGAAGTGCTCATAGTACTGCTGGCATCTGTTAAGAAACTGTGAGAACTTATTCAAGGACCTAATAATAATTATAATAATACAATTTAGTAGTAAATATAACTAAAAAGTAAATTTATATAACATTTAGGTTTGAAATTAGAAAGAAATACATAAATGCAAAGTTCATCAGTTTTTAATTTGGCCATATACATTTCTTACTTCTTTTATCTCTTATCTCAGCTTTTAACTTTCTGAGGAGCATATCTTCTACAAAAACTGCTGTTTCTATTGATATGGGTTTATCCATCATTCAATGATAGAATAATCTTAGCTCCTGAGCTTTTATGCATTCTTTTTTTAATTTTAATCCTTCACCCCACACTTCCATTTATTTTATCATTACAATAAGTATTACTCACATAAAACTCACAAAAATAACTGAGAATAAATAATCTTATAAGAGGTAACAAGTTGGACATACATAGAGAAGAAAGGATTGAAGAGAAGAGTGGTTGGGGTGAAAAAAAAAATAAGTATATTTATTTTTGCAGACATTTCGGGTCCAAAGTTCAGCCCTAGTGAATGCCTGAACTTTGGGTCGAAATGTTGGCAAAAATTAAAAATAAATATACTTATTTATTTTTACTTTTTTTTTTTTTGACTGATCATCCCAACCATTCTTCTCTTCAATTATTCACTACAGTCAACCATCAATCCACAATGAGAAGGAAGGATATTTGTCTTGTTAGGCTAAGGAAATAGAATCAAAAGAAATGCTACTTACATACCTATTTCTAATGGGTCAGGCATTACTTGCTTAAATACTCTCCTTATAAATGTGGGTAAGGAAGTAATAATTTAATAGGAATAGTAATTTTAAGTATTAGAATATCATTTGGGAAAATGTTAGAAAAGAGGGTGAATGTAATTCGTCAGTATGGGAAGTACAGTCAACAGAGAGGGGGGAGGAACTAGGGATGTTCAATGTTGGTAATGGAAATAATTTGTATGGATTATTTTTTTTATTTATATTTCAAAGGGATGTCAAGGTAGTGGGATCATGATTCCAATGAAACTTTTTTTGGATACTAGGACGAGCAGTTTTGCTTGTTGTTGTTTGTTGCTGTTTATAGACATAAAACTCTCAGGTCATCAATGCCTGTATCAATGCTTTTTTTCTAGGGCTGCTGATAAATGATCAACGACTCGGAGTCCTTGTTGAACAGTGGAGTGTCCAGGCAGCTTTTGGTGGATTGAGGTAGTAAAGGAATTTACAGCATTGTCAAGACCATTGGGAATTTTGAGGGATATATTGAGATCTATTTTGGTGGAAAAGAGGTTCTAGTTAACGGGGCCTCTTATGAATGACTGGAGATGGTTTGAGGACAGGTTCTAGGGAAACATTAAAAATAAGTGGACTATGGTCAGAGGAAAGTTTTTTAGGTGTGTAATGGAACAATGGAGGGGAACAAAATCACTGTGGACGAAGAAATCAAGGATATCAGGATTACTGGTTGTTCAGGGATCAACCCCTGAAACAGAAAGAACAAAAAAATGAGTTGCTGAACCCCAAGGAAACAGCCTGGTGAAGGAAATACGGGGAGAAAGAAGAGGAGGCCAAGAAATGAAGCTCAATTTCAGACACGAAGTGAGTCCAAATTAGCCCTACAACTTTAGTCTGAAGCAAAATCATTTCCAACATGGCAATGGCATACTACAAAATTGTAATTTAACCATCAGCTTTCAAGATCAACAAAACTCTACAAGTGCTCAAATTTTATTTCTTTTGTTTTTATTCATTACATACAATATAATCAATTTTTAGAGCCATTTGTTTTTTATACTTGTTCAATGCATAATTTATACATGTATTAAATTTCAGTGATCCAACCTCATATAGCCCACACCAATTCTCACAACAACCAGCTCACTATCACTATAGTATAAATTATAGGTAAATGGGTAAAATTTGGCTCACACCAAATTATAGTGACCAAACACTGTTAGAATCTGTGAGTCATTAGGTAGGAGAGTTAGGGGGAAAGTTGGGAATTGCGTACTGACAGCAATGTTCAGCTTCGAGAATTAGTGGTTCTTGAACCGTATTTTGGTGTTCGGCATTAATGTCTGCACCTAAGATGAAGTGGTCTGCTAAGGAGTCGAGAAGAGGCCTGAACTGGGCATTGGATATGCATTGGTTAGGAGGGCAATGCGTTGATATAACAGTAACCGAAAGGAGAATGTTCCGATTACGATAGCGGTGAATTTTAGGAAGTCGTGTGTAGATAATAGACGTTTCGACTCACTTTGCAGGCCGTCTTCAGGGCGTAGGATGTGGCACTGCGGGAGGCAGTTGAAACATTGCTGTGTTTGAAAGGCAGTTGAAACACAGGCAGTGTTTCAACTGCCTCCCGCAGTGCCACATCCTACGCCCTGAAGACGACCTGCAAAGTGGGTCGAAACGTCGGCAAAAATTAAAATAATTAATATATTTTAATTTTTTATTTATTTGACCGCACCCTCGACTAACTCCTCATATTATATCAACGGTCAACCATCTCTACATCATTATGAATGCATTACCACGGGGTCAACAACAAAGCAGTGTTTCAACTGCCTCCCGCAGTGCCACATCCTACGCCCTGAAGACGACCTGCAAAGTGGGTCGAAACGTCTTCAAAAATTAAAATAATTAATATATTTTAACTTTTTATTTATTTGACCGCACCCTCGACTAACTCCTCATATTATATCAACGGTCAACCATCTCTACATCATAATGAATAATTACAATTGAGCTTCTGCGAGTATATGATGTTGTTCAACATGCATGGAACTATATCTCTAAGCTAAATTATATAGAAAGTCAATAAATATAATCTACTAAAATACTATCTGCAATAAATATATTAACATTCGCAATAAATAGAAACACCAATAAAAAATCTATCAAAATAACAATGTGCATATAAATAACTAAAATAACAATAACAACGTGCGCATGCTAGATATATTTCTATATAATGATAATTAGTAGGATGCTCGAAAAATAAACATGGTAAAATAATAACAGGCAATAAGTAGTCCAACTCCCAACCCGACGTCAACCTCCTGAAGGTATCGTATTCTTTGACGTCCTAACAAGATATCCCCACTGAAAATGAACAACTATATAATTTCTCTATGTCAATCGATTCATAAGGTTGATAGGAAATCGGTAATGAGAATGACCCCTCATTACTGAACTGCACAAGGTAGTTTAGTTTGCTTACGAAATGTATCAGTGAATGTGTTACCTGCTCGTGGGGATTTATCCTAATAAAAGTGTATTCTTCTGTTTGCTTCTATTTAACAGATTGTAGTGTTAACGTGGGAGACATGATTCCTTCACCATTCTTTCGAACCTTTCTACTGTTTCCTCAACTCAGTGTAGCCACCGGGAGTTCCATTCCCCATCCGTTCATGATGGAGAAAACCTCTTCGGTGCTTTGCGCATACGTTTAGATCTCCACAGGAGGGGCGTTTCGACGGCATTGACCTGAAGATCCGGATCCCTAGGGGTTAAAATTCGTGGTGGCACATAAGTATCCTCAGCTGATCCAGGTTGAGTAGCTCCCTTAGATGAGGTTAAGCCGACTGCTTCTTCTGCTAATCTTTGCCATCTTCCTCAAATATCTCGAATTCTTTCGCAGGTTTCTCATATTCTTCACCATCCTCTTCTTTATCCGGAACATCGTCTGAGTCAATTAGCCACGAAGGTCCAGTTGTAAATCGATTTGGTGGTGAAGGGTATGGTGGAAATGTTTTTGGTGGTTCTCTCCTTCTGAACAATCTCCTGGGAAGACTCAGAGCTGGAGAATAGTGGCGTGGAGTAACAGCGCTGGGGCCAACTCTCTGTTCTGAAGGTCGATAAAAATATTCATTCTCCGTGTCACCTGAGTCCTAGCTAGATACTGCACCTACTGCTTCTTCATCCAACTCCATTTCCATACACGGAGTATAAAGAGGAGGGGTAATAGTATTTGAGGCGATCGATGTGCATCATTTCTCTTTTTCCTTCAGACGTTTCGATGACGTAATTTACCGGGCTAATATTCTGTATGACCTTATAGCGTTCTTCCCAAGGGAGGAAAAACTTTCAACATTCGTGAGCTTGGCTCCTTCAGCCCTTAAGTCCATTTTAGCGATACACGGTCAATTAACACTACGAACCTCCGTCCATATAAACAACACCGAAACTGTTGGACGCCCCATACCACTGCGACGAGTTCCCTTTCCGTGGCCGAGTAGTTTTGCTCTGCCTTCTGTAGTTGACGGGAAGCGTAGGCAACCGGCTTATCGACTCCATTCACTTCCTGCGACAGCACTGTCCCGAAGGCAACTCCAGACTCATCGGTTGAGAGCACGAAGGGCAGCCCGAAGTCCGGATACGTAAGAATATGCTCTTGTTTTAAACAACTCCTAAGATCCTCGAATGCTGCGAGTCCCTTTGCAGTCCAATCAAATGGAACATCATTCCTTGTCATCTCCGTGAGGAGTAGCGCACTCTCTGCGTAACTCTTGATAAATCTCCGGTAATAATCGGACATCCCGAGAAACGTTCTGAGCTCCTTTAAGTCTCTTGGTAAGGAGTATCCCTCAATGGCCTCAGTCTTCTGAGGATCAGGTTTCACTCCGTCTTTTTTTATAAGATATCCCAGGTAAACAAGCTCCGTCTTCTTGAAGTGGCACTTCTGTAGATTTATACGTAATCCGGAATCCAGCAGCCTCAAGCCGCATATGATAATCTCTCGGGGTTGCCTGCAAATACAATTATATCGTCAAGATACACCATACACTCTTCCCCACAAATATCAGCCAGCACATAATCCATCAGCTTCTGGGAGGTAGCTGGCGCCCCGGTTAACCCAAACGCCATATGCCGATATTCATAGTGCCCGTCCGTTGTGCTGAACGCTATCTTTTCTCTATCCTCTTCTCGGCTGGGGATCTGGTGGTAGCCCCTTCCAGATCGAGCGTAGTGAAGAAAGTGCACTTACCGATCCTAGCAAGCGTCTCATTAATATTAGGCAGTGGATAGGTGTCCACTCTAGTGACAGAGTTTAGCCCACGGAAATCAGCGCAGAACCGATATTTAGGAGATTCTCCATGCTCAATCTTCTTCTTCACAATAACTATAGGTTAGACCAGGGGCTCGAAGAAGGTTGTATAACCCTCTTTTCCAAAAGTTCCTTAATTTAATTTGAATTTGAGGAGTCCGGTAAGGTCGAACAGCTATATTGGCTTGGCATCCCTCGTGTTCAACAACGCTTGATTAGCTGCTTGATTGAATTTATATCTGGTAATCACATCGACAACCAATTGGGATCAGAGCCCAGAAGAGTTTTCCTGAAAGAGTTGTGACATGAACTGTGTGTAGGACAACTACAGCGAAGGAGTCAACTATCATTTGTCTTTCACACTTCCTTGAAAATGCATCTAAAGAGATTCCTTCCGACTGATGATCGTCAAGCATCACCCCCACCTCCACCCCCCACGAGGTCCAGATGCTGTCATTTTACTGTGGAAACTGGAAAACGTCGGCTCTCGAACTACTCATGCATATGTAATTTTTTAAATTGCAATTTTTTTTTTCATAGTGTGCCTGATAGGCTCACCGCATCCCAATATTGAGAATCCTTGACCGCGCCCTACGCAGGGTTAAAATATACAGATAATTTTTTTTTTAATTATTCATACCTTAGCACTTATTCATCTTGTCTTTTTGACAATATTGTATGCCAGTAAAAAAATATTTAAAACAAAATTAATTTTTGTTAAATTTAAATAGTATTATTTATTGTTGGTGTTCGGCAATCTTTATCCATCATTTTTTTTCTTATTAGCTTATTTATTTTGGAGTTCGGTCTAGACCGCTGACTTAGTAACATCGTCTCTGTGCTACATAGTTTTACGCTTAGAAATTCTACACCTACGTCGACGATTTTTTGCTCAGTTAAAGTTAAAGTGTTACTGAAGTGGTTAGAAAAATTTGGTGACAATAGTGATACAGATAGTTGTACAATTATAGTAGCAATATCCGACAAATATCAGGACAGGCATCGCTTATCTACATTGCCGGCTGGATCTGGCAGCTCCCCACCACATCGCCCATATCGTGGAGTTCAAGATTGAGGTACTTATCTATTATCAGTTTACAGCTGTGTGATAAATAAATAAACTGTTGATCATTTAATTTAATTTGATTGTTTTACCTGAAAATGGCTGCAGAAATTACTTTGAATGACGTAATGACCCTTCTGAGGGATACAAACGATCAAGTTAAAAAGGGAAACGAGGAGATGAGAACCTTAAAAGAATCGGTGGAATGCTTTCAAATTGAGTTGAACGAACTAAAATCAAAACTAGAAAATTTAGAACGGTCACACAACCTATTAAAAACTGCATTTAAAAACGAAATCTCAAAAAGTAACCAAAATATTGATTAAAAAAAATATAGTAATAGAGAAAAAAACCTAATATTATATAATTTTAAAAACAACACAAATGAAACGCATAACACGCTGGAAGAAACGATAGTAAATGCTATAAATAACTGTTTGAAAATTAATCTCAGCCTTTCAGAGATAGACTTGATCACCAGATTGGGATCACCATTAAAACAGAATAGGCCGGTGTTGATAAAATTTATAGCAATGAGAAGAAAAATACAGATTTGGAATGCAAGATGGCAACTTAAATCAAATATGAAGTTCTCTTGCGATTATACTCCTCAAGAGGGCGTAACCAGGAAAGAATTATGGCCATATATTAAAATAGCTCGTGAAAATAGAAGAATAGCAAAATATAGAGGAGATAGAGCATTTATTGATAGTGTCATTTATACTTTAGAAGAGTTAAAATCTGAAGATTCGAGCAGTAATATAGAGTCAGGAATTGCATCAAAAGACACAGCTGTGGATGAATTAATGAATAATGATACAACAGAAAGAACTAAAAGACAGAGAAGTGAGGAATCCACTCCCGGAAATAAGGCCGAGCCCCCTCGGAAAAATGAGATAGAAAATTTGTATAATAAAAAACAAGCCAGTAAGAAAATAAATAGTTCTTTGAAATTAAGGAGCAGCAGCCTGGAGAGATATTTCAAACAGGGTACAAATGAGGGTGACAAAATATTAGGAACCTCTGGTTCTGTAACGAATTCTTAGCAGTTTATAGGCAGCCAGGTTAATAAAATAGGTTATGACAATGGAAATTTCGACAGGATAATAAATAAAAAGGAAACTAAAAAAATATCACAGATGAAAAAATGGGATATAAACACCTATAATTGTTTTTGTTTTTTATCTATTTATTGAATAATAATACAATCAGCCACTGGAGGGCTATAAGTATTAGTGCTAAGAGTTCTCATTCAAACAATATATACAAATAATAGAGAAATAAATATAAATATAAAAAGTAAATAAATAATACTGATGATTTAAATACCTTGGAGAAATCATATGCAGCAATGGGTCAGAGAGAGAAGGGTTTTAGAAAAGAATCGCCAAAATAGAGAAATTAAGCTTCGCCACCAGTGAGCTTTATAAAAAGAAGAACTTATCTCTAAAAGCCAGAATACGACATTATAACACGGTCGTCAAGCCAGTGGTACTCTACGCAACAGAAACTTCTTGTCTTCCCAGCCTAGAAAGCCTTCTGAAAATAGAAAGAAGAATTCTCAGAAGAATCTACGGGCCTAGGAGAACACCTGAAGGATACAGGTTGAGGTCAAATGAGGAAATATATAAAGAAACAACGGATCTAGAAACTGACGCTAGAGTGGGAAGGCTGAGGTTCTATGGCCATATGATAAGGATGAATCCTGAAAGACTTAACCATAAAATCTTTCAGCGCACCCACAGTCATAAGAATGTAAGCGGGTATTTTAAACAGATTAAGGATGATATAGACCAAGTGGGGCTAAGAGACCAAGATTGTTTAGACAGAGATGAGTACAGGAAGGCGCTCAAGAGAATAACGGTTCTTGCGGGCAAGAAGCGCTCCAAAAAGGGTGTTGCGTCGTCTGAGGAGAGAAAACGTAAGCACGCGGAGCTCATGAGGGGTATATGGGAGAAGAGGAGGCAGATGAAGAGGAAGCATTAACTTCATGGTATTCGCGTGGTCTTTAAGGCCTGTTCGTGAAAAAAAAATACTGATGAAGAAAGAAAAAAAAAAGTAAACAATAACATAAAAAGAAACTTATAAACACAATCATACCTATATACAATATATACATTCGCCCAGGAATCTCCGAGCCAGGCTTTTTCCCCCACATGTGGAAGGCAAAGCAAGACTTCAGGAGATCCCAGTGCCACTTTTCCAGCCGCATCACTAGTATTAGAAGCCAATGGAGACTGAAAGAGGGCACTTGAGCCACAGACGCTCGGGACATGAGTGGAGAAGCTGGCTATTGCCAGGACTCCAGAAGTATATTTACAAGAGATCTCTGGACCACTGCCCTTTTAACCTTCGTGGAGGATTGTAGGGATGAAGGGAGCTGGATAGGGATTGAGCAAGAGGATTTGGATGATGGGTAAGGTTTTGGTGAAAGTTTGAGAATCTGGTTGGGATGATGTCGAGGACAAATGGGATGTTAAGGTCATGGTGTAGGGTCTTGTTTGTGACATAATATGGGGCATTGACTATTGTTCTAAGTACTTTGGACTGGAAGGATTGGATGCATTTGATATTCGAATGTTTAGCAGTTCCCCACAGTTCAAGTCCGTAGGTCCAGATAGATTTCAGTATGGTCTTGTAGATTAAAAGTTTATTTTCAATCGAAAGATGGGATGTCCTACTTAGTAATCTATACAACTGGCCATATCGTTGGTTAAGTTCTTGTCTTTTAAGTCTGGTATGTGGGTTCCAAGTTAGTCTTTTGTCAAGAAGAAAGCTAAGGTAACGAACTGTGTCTGAGTAGGGAAGTGGAATTGAATTAAAAAGGATTGACGGACAGGATCTGCGTCGCAGGGTAAAAGTGATATGTTTGCATTTTGATTCATTGATTTTGATGCGCCAGTTGTTGCACCACTGCTCAATCAAGGAGAGGTGAGATTGTAGGTTTAGAGATGCTATTTGAGGATCTGAGTGGGAAGATAGAATGGCAGTATCATCAGCAAATGTAGCTAGAAATGTATCGGGATTTGAAGGGATATCGGAAGTGAAGAGGATATAGAGAACTGGGCCCAAGACACTGCCTTGTGGAACACCAGCCTCAACCGGATAGTAAGTGGAGAATTTGGTGTCACAACGGACTTGAAAGGAACGATTTGAGAGGTAGGATTTGAGGACTAGGTATAAGGATTGGGGTAAATGGATTTTGAGCTTGAAAAGCAAGCCATCGTGCCACACCCGGTCGAAAGCTTGTGCTACGTCCAGAAAGGCACCAGTGCAATAATGCTTGTTTTCAAGTGCAGAGGATATATGGTCCACACACGAAGGCCTTGTTGAACAGTGGAATGTCTTGAGCGGAATCCAAACTGATGAGAAGGGATGTTGTGGGGTTCGATTATGGGTAGGATGCGTTTGAGAAGGATTTTCTCAAGAATTTTTGAGAGGATCGGGAGTAAGCTTATCGTTCTATAGGATGATGTGTAATTAACAGGTTTACCTGGTTTTGGAAACAGGATGATAATGGAATGTTTCCACACCAAAGGAAAGTTGGTTGTGCGAAGGATGCAGTTGTATAGATAGGTGAGGAATATGATTGCTTTTTTGGGAAGTTGTCTGAGGATTTGTGAAGTGAGGAGATCATATCCAGGGGATTTTCGAGGTTTTAATTTGTTTATAAGGAATTTGACCTCAGAGGGGTTAACAGGTTTTGGAGGTAGAGAGAGAGGAATTGGTGAAGAGAGGAATTCTTCAACTTCAGCAGTGTGGCTGGGATGGAGTTCGGGATGAAGGGTGAATGTGTAGGATAAATGTTTAGCAAACTCTTCTGCTCTATTCGCATCTGACGAAGCCCAGGAACCATCATAACGGCGAAGTGGATGGGAAATGGACTGGAATTTAAGGATTTTTTTGGTTACATTCCAGAGGGAGTTATCACTAGCGGATAATGAGAAGAGGTAGGAATTGTAGGATTGGGTTCTAAAAGTATCCAGTTTCTTTTTTACCTGTTTGGAATAATAATTATACGATTTCCGGTCATCAGGATGCCTGGTTCTTTGCCAAAGGGTCCTAGAGCAACGTTTGCTATGGATTAGGTCCAGCAGGTCTTGAGGTAAAGGATTTATGTTATGGTATTTTTTGGGACGATCAGGTGAGGATGCAGTCCAAGCTGCTTGCTGGATCAGGGTAGTGAAGGAATGCACTGCATCGTCGAGGTCTTCAGGTGTTTTTAAGGAAACTCTGAGGTCTATATTATCTTCCAGTATTTGACGGAAAAGGTTCCAGTTAACTGATCCCCTGATAAATGAAGGTGGGGGTGATTTGGGAATGGGAGATGTGGAAACGGTTAGGACTAGAGGA